AAACCTTGCTAATGGACTGGAGGCTCCTAACAATGATTTCCATGTTAAATAGAAATTCCAAAAGCAAGTTTAGAATTAATTCAAGGTTCCTGCTAACAAATAAATGAAGACCATTTCTTCCTAATGTTCAGTTATTCCACCGTTCCAAGCTGCAGAAGGACTTGGAAGCCCTATGAAACAAAATAGGTCAGGTATGTGGCTGAGACCACAGATACTATATTTACTTTTTTAAAGTCTGGGGTGCAGCTGGGCACTATACATAGCTGCTTTTGCTCAAAGGAATGGCTACAGCTTGTGGGCTGCTTTTCCTTTCCAAAAATGTCTACAAGTTTAATTAAACTTCTGGAATAAACCAGTTTTGGCAGGAGACACCACCTTATCAGCAGGCTGACTGCTTGCTTTCCAAGTAAGTTATTAGCTTTATTGCAGAACTGTAGTTGGATATCAAATGGGATTAATGTCTGAAGTAATTGCTTTTTGGCCTTTTATAATTGTAAGAGGAAATACTTAACATGGGTTTTTTTCCCCTCCACTTTTCCTTTCCTTTTTTTTTCTTTTGCATTGCAATAAATGAATGGACTATTGCATGTAAGCTGTTTATAATATAGAGTAGGAAATAAGGAAATGAATATAACATGGATTGAAATGGATTTGTGTCACTGTCTTGATTTTACAAGATAAAATCTTGTGAAAATAGGTTCATTTGCAAAAGAAAAAAACGCCTTGCTTTTCCAAAGCAGAAACAAACAAACAAACAAAAAAAGATTTGTGCAGTTTTGAAAATCTCCATATGCACTGATATATATGTGCATATAAATAATTTCCTATAGGGTTGATTCAGAATGTGTAATATATTACCAATTGTCCTGTTCACTGACCTCCATGGAAGTATATTTAGAAGAGAAAAATAAATCTGTGTAGCAAGTATGATGAACCTTCTGTGTGACTTTAATTTGTTATCTTTTTTGCTAGGTGAAGATGGGCATTTTGGCTATTCTAATTCTCCCACTGCTTGTGGTTGGAATTAGTGGAGTTGTATACATTTATCGGAAAGTTACTCAGCTGATGACAAAGTCTGCTGTGCGGAGCAAAGTTGTAGTAATCACTGATGCTCTCTCTGGTGTGGGCAAGGGTAAGAAGTGCAGCAAATAACTCATATTCTATAGTGTGTGTGAGAGAGAGGGGGGGGGAGAAAGGGAGAGGGAGAGAGGGAGGGAGGGAGGGAGGGAGACTGCAAAAATAGGAATTTCCTCCTGGAAATTTTAGGAATATTTGCCTTCTGGAATTTAGCCATTTGAAGCATGACAAATCCAGGATTCTTAGAACTTCAGCATCCCTTTAAAAGAAGTAGGGAGATGTAAGCCTTTGTGATTATAAAAGAAAACTTGGAAATACAAGAAACATTAAATACTCAGAAACCAGTATTATAGACCAGAGTCAAGGCTTCAGCCCTATAAATCAGTAGGGAAGCCATATAAATGTGTGTATTTGAGCAGAAAGGGCCTTCTTAAGTGAGCATATTAAGAATTTCTCCAAATTACTATGTTTATTCTTATTCATCAACAAATTTCTTCCTACAGAACACAAGTCTACTGTATGTTCTTTTGCTCAATCTGAAGCATTGCCTTCTAATGGTCTGTGTGCATTCTGAACCTGCTTTAATACCTTGTCTGCAAAATTCCAAATGTTGCAATTGAAATAAATTAGAGAAAGCAAACATAGACCATGAGGCATGAAAACTCAAGAGGGGGAGGAGAAAGGGGAACTGAATTGTGCATCGAGAGTATATGGTCAATCAATCTAGTGTCCAAGAAATTAGATTCTACATTGCTTGGTTTTTGTTTGGAGCCAACTTTCAGAATTCCATGTCATTAAAATTACCCACATTTTGCACAAACTGCAAACAGCAATAAAAGCTGTATTTATTTAGGGGCTGGCATCCATTTACTATCTCTTACAATGCAGCTATTGAACAGTGTGTTAGAAAGGATAGTACTTGGACCCACAATTAGTTAGAAAAGTGCCTCCACAAACTCCTTGTCTTAGGAGAGAAAATATCTATTTATAGTTGGCTGGCTGTGCTGTAATGGTGAGAACCATTTGCACATACAGGACCTATAAAGTGGCAGCAATCTGATATAAATAGCTTATTTCTGTAATCCCTAAATTATGCACTAGTGGTGAGCTTTAAGATCTTGCACCAAGCAGTTGAGGTATTGAGGGTTATCTTGAAGCAAAATTATTGGCAGACCTTGTAGTGAAGACATTGAACCTGCAGCCCTGGTTTGGTGAATGGAGGAAAATCCTAGCCAGACAAATGTCAGGGGAATGGAAAATGATTCCTCTCAGAGGTATGCAGGAGGTTTGCTGCTCTGCTGCCTATTGGGGGGAAGGAAACAGGAGATGCCAACTGAGAAATCATCAGGGTCATGTGCACCATTGGCAAACATACTGGGAGAAGTGCATCAAGTGATAGAACAAGACAATTTTACACTTTCATCCCCAACAGTGAACTTTGCAGAACTCTTGTGTTTACTGGAGCTGGAACAGGATGGAAAGTGGAAGATTTATGAAATCTCTTGATAAAAAGGTTGAGATTATTCTAACTTGTAGACAGCTATTAAATTGCTTAATTTTATTGCCAAGTTTCCCTTATAAGAAGACTGTTCAATAAAACTCATCCTATAAGAAGACTGTAATAGGTTTTTATTAAAGGGAGAATCTGTTTTAAATATTTTGTGCTTATTTTCACATAAAGAGAGAATCATATTTTAATTGACTTCGTGCAACCCACTAAACTTAAAATTGTGTTAATTTTTAACACCTGTGTTGAGTAAACCCAGGAAATCAAGTTAATTCAATAAAGTTTGATTCAGTTAATGATTTTATTCTGACTTTTGGACAGAAAACCATTTATTCCTTCCAAGCTGCCATTTTGCCTCTTCTCCTGCTAGACAATATTTCCTGGTTTTCTCTTCTTCCTTCCATTATGTATGCAAGATGGACAGTGATTAATATTTATAATGTTGTATATAGTATGTTTAAATGTATGTTTAAATGTGTGTTATGTATGTGTACACTTTGAGAGCAAGCAACTAAATTTCCTTTTTAATGTGTGCCATTGTGCCCACAGTAAAAAGTGACAATAAAGGTTATCATTATCATCCATCTGGCATTCCATGCTGCAACTACTGAGCATGCTCTGTGTATCCTAGGCTATTTCTTGTGAGGATTTCCATGGATGGAATTCTTTCTTTCAATCACAAGACGACAATCATTGCAATCATCATTCAGTTGATTCTCCCTTGGGCATACTTGCTACATTATTCAAATGCATGGAAATGTTGGCTTCCCAGGATTCCCAGTCTTGCTTTCCCAAGGTGGTGTGGAGAGACCTTTTCAATGGAATATATTTCCAGCAATTCATTTCCAAGCTGCAACAGAGGAAGATAAATCTTTTTCACCACATCCTTTCTGGAAGATGCTAGAGACAGAGCAAAAATGCTTGTCTGGTATCTCTCTGTATTTCTATATTAAATAGGGAATATTAAATCATTTTTACCTCACCCAGCATAGACATACAACTGCTCCTGTCCTTGTTGTATCAACATGGCTGAGCTTATAGTTAACTGAGAGAAATGGCTATTTAGCTCCTATAGCTACAGGCCCCTAACTAAGCAGTGTTTCAGGCTTGATGATTTCACTTAACTTTTTTGCACACCTCTCTCACTACAAAGGATCTGCTCACTGGAAACATCATGACTTCCTTTCATTTTCAGATCTATAGCCCAACTGTAGTAGTCCTGAGTTCTAGCTGTTGACCTTAGTGCCAAGCACAAGACTTCATAGAATCCTCCAAGCAAATGGAGGTACAAATATGTTCAGGCAATGTCTGGATTATACATTTGTTTGACCATCCACAAGATCTGTATTCGAAGCACAAGGAATTCCATGGGGGAGGAGGGTTTATCTGTTTATGCTGAGTACAGGAAGAATATTTTTTTTCTTTGTTTAGGGTTGAAGGAATGAGAACAGATATACTGTATTACGATCCCAATTAACTGAATTATTCCTTGGTTTATCTTCCAGAATGTACACAAGTATTTCATACAGGAGGAGCAAGGCTGATTTTGTGTGGGAAACACCTGGACAAATTAGAAGCTCTTTGTGATGCTTTAAATAGCGCGGCCGATCCTACTGCAGTAAGACTCTTGTATATCCTTAAAGATCTCTCTATAAAGGCAACAAAAGAGACACTTGCTCTAGAATGGCCAAACACTTTCTTTCAGGGTTTTTGAATTAAACATTTCTTCCCAACAAATTAATTACTCACAGGGTCAATCCTGCCATTAGGTAGAAGAAGGAGAGAGGTTTCCTTATTTATTTTCACCTTACCTTGAACAAATATGGGTGACATACTGTCTCCTCTGCTTTCCTTAAAATTGCTCATTGGTCTTAGATACAGGGAAGGAAAATGCTGGCCCCTTACCATAATTGAACTAAAAGACACTTGCTACTCAAACTTAGGAAGGCAAATGTTTTCCCCTGCTTCTACTATAAAGGAACTTGAGGGATCAGCCTAAAAGTTGAGAAGGTACATTCAAGTAAAAAGCAAGTGGTTGAAGAAATTATACGACAACAGAAAACACATGGAAGATTATAAGATTATATTCCAGCTTTCCCCAGTCTGGAAACTTGCAGAATATTTAAATTATCATTTCCACCATCTCCACCTGTGGATGAGAAATGAGGGCAGCAGTCTTCCAACAACTTAGTTTTGGAAATTGTTGGAATGTTGAGGAAGGCAGTTAAGGATTAACTTACTGTCTTATGGACATTGACAAATTATGAAATCTGATTTTGTTCCTTTAGTACTCACATGTAAGAGATGGACCTTGTGTCATTTATTTATTTATTTATACGTTCATTCATTCATTTATTTATTATATTTCTATGTCACTGAACTTGCCAAAGAGATTCTAGGCAGCTTGCAATTAAATGATAGCATTTAAGCATAGCATAGTAATGGTAGGAAAATGCATATTTTAGAAAGACTTGTCTCAAATTGCTAGAGATACACTTGTTTGAAGATAGTAGCAACCAAATAAAATTCATTTAATAAAATTGTAAATGTAAATAAGTATTTAATCTCTAATCTTGTTGATGTACCATAAAAAGATCCGTTAGGAAGACACATCATGTAAAAAAAAAATAGAACAAGGATAACTTTCAACTGAATAACTCTTAGTGGTTAAGGGATGGCAATAGACCATAGGCTGTAATAGGCATTTTCAGAAAAATACAGATTAGTATTCAATATTTCAAACAGTATGCAGGCATTCGATGTAAATGTTGCAATATTTTTAGTGTTAGATCAAAACAAATTTATTTTCCAAGGCAATTTAAAATTAGTTTTATTGCCTCTCTTTTCAATTGTATGCTTTTGTTGTCTCACAGTATTGTCTTATATAATGAATGATCACACTTTTCATTGAATGTTACTGCAAAATATCAAAATTAAGGTCAGTCTAATCAGTTTGTTTTTAAATGATGAATGAAAGATGCTGCTAGAGCTGGAGTATATCATCCACATATTTTTTTGCATACAAATAATCACAACCAGTTATTTCCAAATTTAAGGCCAGACAAACTGACAAATAGGTGATTCTGGATTTAAACAACAAGAGTACTACCAAATTTTTAAAACTGACACTTTCCCCCCCTAAGGAACTACTACTAATTATATTTTTAATACATTAATTCTACTTTATCTTTGGACCTGATTTCCTTCTACATAGTCATGCTCATCTGATAAACCCCATTTCCTTTATTGTGTGAGCCATAAGACTGGGAATTTTGGGAGCAGAAGATCCCAAAATAGGCAAGTCACCAAACTGGGGAAAGTGCTTTATTGTCTCACATAGGAATTATCTCTCTCTTCTGTGTTGTTAAGTATTATGCTTCAAAAAGTACTGAGATATCTCTGTCTTATAGTAGAGTAACCCCCAAACCCTCCTTCTTTTGCAGACATTTACACCGAAGCTTATCCTTTTAGATCTCGCTGATGTAAACTGTATCCAAGATGTAGCTAAAGAAATCCTGGATTGTTATGGATGTGTGGATATTCTCATTAACAATGCTAGCACAAAAGCCAAGGGGACAGTTCAAAACGTGTCACTGGAACTCGACAAAAAGATCATGGATGCCAACTACTTTGGACCTATAACACTCACCAAAGGTATACAGAAGACTGTCTATCTTATTGTATTATGTTTTAGGGATTCAGGTAGTCCTCGATTTACGATCACAATTGAGTCCTAAATTTCTGATGCTAAGTGAGACAGTAGTTAAGTGAGTTTTGCTCTATTTTATGGCCTTTCTTTCCATAGTTGTTAAGTGAATCATTGCAGTTGTTACGTTAATAACACAATTGTTAAATGAATCTGGCTTCCCCATTGACTTTGCTTGTCAGAAGGTCACAAAGATGATCACATGACCCCAGGACACTGCAAATGTCATAAATAGGAGTCAGTTGCCAAGCATGTGAATTTTGATCACATGACCACGGGGATGCTGCAACAGTCATAAGTGTGAAAAATGGTCATAAATCACTTTTTTCAGTGCCATTGTAACTTTGAACAGTCACTAAATGAAGTGTTGTAAATCAAGGACTACCTGTATTATATTTTTGCTCTTCAAAGGGAGGAATCCTTAGTCATTTTATGTATATACATACAACAAACTATCTTAATTTTATTTCAGTTTAATTGTTATGCCTTTCCTCGGATAATCTCCAGGATATCGAGGTCCACACAAATCTAATTGCCTAAGACTCTCTGGAGAGAATAAAAAGTATCTGTAGGGCAACTTGCTTTCGTTTCTAATAGCTGTTTCAACTCTTACTTGATTTGACTTGGTGCGTGTAATCACTTCAAACACCTCTAGTTATTGTAATCTATCATTTCACATGGAAAAGTGGAGGAAGGAGAGAGAATTGGAGGTGATTAAATCAAGAAAACTGAGGCAGTGACTTTAGTCGTTTGTGCTTACATATGCCTTGATTGCAAACTAGGGTGCATTGTGGAATTATTCCAGAGACTTGCTGAGTTTGATGAGAGATTTATTAATGAAGGGGATTTGGCAGAATATTGCTTGCTGGTAAAGCATTTTCCCCTAATAGTACATATATCTAATGACTGGATTGCTGGGCTCAGCCTTACTGGAGGTGTTTGCTGCAATGGGACTGAGTCAGCCCTGACTCCTGGGGACTGTATGGAAAAATATATGTCATCTTAACCTTTCTCTGGTGATAACTACAGCTGCTTTGGTCTTTGATCATAAAATCAATCTGATCCATTCAACAAGTCATTCAGTTGTTGACTGATTGATAATACACAGCTCTTCCACAGAATTTCCAATTCTAATATTAGCCATCTCTGGGGATGTATTAGTTACAATAAAAAGGAGCATACAAAGGGGCTTATGTGGTCCAAAATTGCAGCCGTCATTAAGTGCAGCAACCTAGCCTCTGTCCTAGGTATCCACACAGAATTTTGCAGTGTACATTCTGGGACTGCTGTGTGCTGCAGAAGCCAAATAACATGTGGTTTAGGATCCATTGAAGGTGTCTGCATCCAGCTAACCAAATGAAGCTTCCCTTTCTTCAAAAAAGACTATACTGTGGGTGGGATGGGGGAGGTATAGAATTCCATAGGGTCTAGTTTACATGTTTTTGTTAAATGTAACAAGAATGTCTGAATACACCAGTTCAAAAGCTGGGATTTATTCTGTGTGGTCTTTGTTGCAATTCCTCATCCCATAACTATACTAAGCACATTTACACCTTGCCCAGTACTATTCCATTCGCCACATGCCTCAGATATTTATGTGCTATGAACTAATCTCTGCAGCAAGAGTCCGACCCCGTTGGGAACTTCATTTTGGAGTCCAAGGGGAGGTTAATCACATCGCCTCGGTTTGCTTGTTAATTTTTTCACTAGCAACTCTCCATGGATGAGTTCATTACGGCTTTATGTCCTGTTTCTGAGGTCCTCAAAATAGTTTGAAATGAATACTAACCTTAGACACCCCCCAAAAAAATAATTACTATTCATCTGAAAATGTATCTCAGATGTGTGGTACAGTCACGAATATATAGAGATGTGGTTTATCAGGCAAAAATAAAAGAATGAGGAAATACATAAACTCACCCATAGCTGTTGGAAATCGTACAGTATCATTCACCTTTTAAATGCCGCTACTTCTCAGATTACAGTACGTCCCGGCTGTTTCAGATTGTAACTGGCCTGCACGTCCTGCCAGATTAATAATGTGCTTCCAGATCACATGGATCTGACTCAAATTTAGATCATAGTACATTCCCAAAGGTTTCCTATTCATTTTGTAATATATTCACACAATGTTATTGAGTGTCCAGCCCTCCATCTGCAATCCTGTATTTCCTCTACTGCATCTTCCATCTCTCTTCTCACTATAGAACATCTGTTAAAAAGATAAATGCCAGATAAATGCAATCTTTTTTTTTAATTGCTAGTGATATGAATCCTCCATCAGGCAGCATTCCAAACTCCTAAGTAGCAATTATAGCATGCAGAGATCTCATTCTAAAATGAGAAATGATATGGAGTTTCCAAGCAAAGGTTATGTCTTATGTCTGTCTTAGGACACAAGCTCATCAGCTGAATAATGTCAGTTGCCAACCACTGCTGGGGCACAGAAAGGAAGAAAAACTTCCAGTAGTCTTTGGAAGACAGACTCTTCCCACTTCCAGTAGTTCTGCATTGGATAGACAGTGCATCCTGCCTTTCAGCAATAATTAGATGAAAGGCTTTGGCAGTTGACAAAAAAGAATGCAAAGGAGAAATGGACTGGTTTAGCATGCAGTGGGAACTGTTTCCAAACTGAATGAGCTACGGCATGGACAAGCTCATTGTTTCAAACTAAAGGATGCATATATGGTTGGTTGTGTAATTATTTACTATGTGTAAAAGAAAATACAGGAAAAAAACCTCCTGTAAGTAGCTTAATTGGAAGCAGCATGAAGAGCCCAGAGTCACCATTTAGGGGAGATGGGTGGCATAAAAATTCAATAAATAAATGAAAATTTTAAAAAATGATGAAACCATACTCAGTAATAAATCAGTTCTAAAAATACTAGTTTAGAAGAGACCACATGCTTTGCATACATTAACATATGTGTTTTAATAGTTTTTTATAAGATTATTCTTGGAAGTGGATAGCCGTCTTCATTTTTTTTTTACCCAAAAGATATCAAAGCGGAAGTACTTTTAACCCTCCCATAAGCCAAGATATAAAACAAAATGTACAATTTAGCTACTGCTTGGATTATTTTGTAAAGCAGGCTTGTTATCAACTTTCAAGTTTGTAGATGACATGAATCACCCTAGTAGCAATTACTGCTACTAAAAAAATACATTAAATATTCAGACTTTTCATGTTGCTGTGATTAGACACTAATCTATTTACCAAAAAAAAAAAGACAGAAAAAGATAGGAATTGTCATTTTAAAAAATAATTTTGTTGTTGTTTAGTTGCTAAACATTTTTAAAATGCGCACAAATGAATTCCATCATTGTTATCTGGATAGCTAATGGCAGTGAATGTGAGGTAAGACAGTTCTGTAAGATAGCCTAGCATTATAATGCCAATTTTGCAGGCAGGGGAAAATGGTATACTACTTCTACAACAGTGCTTCTCAACCTTGGCAACTTGAGGATGTGTGGACTTCAACTCCCAGAATTCCCCAGCTGGCAAGGCCTTATCAGCTGGGGAATTCTGAAAGTTGAAGTCCACATATCTTCAAACTGCCAAGGTTGAGAAACACTATCTGTAAGATAGTGTTTCTCAACCTTTCTCAACTATTATTCAGGTCTCTGCCATACTATTTTGTTTTAAGGGAAATGTAATGGAACAGTTGAAATTAATTGTAGTATAAAGCAAAGACTCCCTCAAGTTGAGCTCTGGAAAATACATGGCTGTATCCATGTAATTTTCAAAGCCTTGATATGAAAATAATTTGCTATTGCCTTGTTCTGTTTTTATTATTTACTAGCTGTACCCGGCCACACGTTGCTGTGGCTCAGTCTGGTTAAATGGAAAAGAAAGAAAAGAGAAAGCGCACGTTTGTAATATATTTAATTTCACAATGCTTGTGGGTATACAATATTTTTTGTTGTTCCATTGTCTGTGCAGATATAGAGATTGTCTGGTTTGCCAACTCTAGAACACGCAACATATAATTGTCCATGTGAGAAGCAATCCGTGTCTAGATCTAAACCGCACAATTCTAAAGATTGGCCCTGAGCTTTGTTGATGGTGATTGCAAACGCCAATCAAATTGGGAATTGCAATCTCTTAAATTGAAATGGCATATCCATTGGAATCATAGGAATGCGAGGAATGAGGACATCTTCACCTTTGAATCGTAGCATGTGTTGCTTTTACGTCCAACAGATGGCGCTGTTTTTCAAAAAAAGCATGTTTTACCTGTCACAGGTGTGACATCTATATAATATAGGTATATAAAAACACGCGCGTATTCGAATGCAACGTTGTGTCAAAATTTCAAAGCAATTGGTGAAGAACTTTCGGAGATTTAAGATTTTGAACAAACGAACATTTACATTTTTATTTATATAGATTTCCCAAACTAGCCTATAGCCATAGGATTTACTGAGAGTTTCCCATCCAATTATGACCCAGGTCCAAGCCTATTTAGGTTTCTAATGGTTGGCACACTAGACTAGGGCTTTTCAACCAGTGGTATGCATATCACTGGTGGTACTTCGGCATCTGGCAGGTGTACGCATACGTTGGATTGAAAAGCACTGTAAAAAAAAGTATATTAAAAAAATGTAAAAGTGGATGAGGTGAAGCAGCGGCAGCACCGCACAGGCCTGTGGGAGAGTCAGCTGGAGCTGCAGTGTTGCGGGGGTTCTGCTGAGAGCGCAGGATCAGGATCGGCGCACGCAGCTCCAGCTGATCGACACTTCCGGCGGCCTTGGGGGTGGCTGCAGCCACATGCAGTCTCCAGGTGGTGATTCAGCTGGACCTGTGTGTGGTGTTTCTGGGACTCTGCTGAGAGCCCAGGATCAGTGCATGCAGCTTCAGCTGATTGGCACTTCCAGCGCAGCAGAAGAGAAAAGGAGGAGGAGGGGGGAGAGAGGAGAGGATATAAAAGGAGGAGTGGGGAAAGAAGAGAGGATATAGAAGGAGGAGGGGGAAGAGAGGGGTGAATATAAAAGGAGGAGGGGGAGAGAGGAGGGGATATAAAAGGAGGAGTAAAACCAGTACTTTTTTCCTTTGTTTTACAGTTTGTAACATTTTATTAGATTATAGAATAAAATACGAAAATACAAAAGCAAATAGTAGGACACAGTAGGGAGGGAAAAGGGAAAGAAAAGTGAGGAGGAGAAGGGCAAAAAGAAAAGAAAAGGCATTGACTTCCGACTTCCTCTGTTGCAACAGAATGAAGCATTAACATTGAACTTCAACTTTTTACTTTTCCATAATAGTATAAACTAGCCATTTCTATAACAACAAATGAATCTAATCAGTAGAACCTAAAATCCCCCCCCCTTTTTTTTTTAGTCATCAAGTTTTTGACACCTTGTTCAGCACTGGTGGTACTCGAATATTGTCATGTCCTAAAAGTGGTACAATCTGTGAAAAGGTTGAAAAGCCCTGCACTACACTGCAGCAATATAATCGGTTAAGAACTGAAGAAATTGTTAGGGTTAAAAAGTGTCAGTGTTTAACAAGGCTGTAGATTTTCTTTTCCAATCTCCTGGAATGGGGTCTTTTCTCCCTTTGAGAAAATCTGTGTGTGGAAGATATTTTGTTGAAGATGTGGCTGCTTGATATGTTGTCTCATATTGTAAAGATCTCTATTGGGCATATTTAATCTCTTGTGCGTCACCTAGAAGAAATTAGATTAATTGACATTGCATTGTTGAAAGCAACCAAGGAAATTATTTATTTCTTTATCATATTTATGCCCTCTCTCCCCCCCACATGACATTCAAGGGAATTAGCAATTACCTAACTGCTTTTCAATTGATCAGAAACATTTCTGCCTTATCTGCATTGATCAGCAATGCATTTTTATTCATCCCAGGCACAATTATCAATTGTTATTTTAGGACCTGAACTGTTTTCTCAGCTTTCAGTTCCTGAGGAATGTAACTACAGGTAGGAAAAAAATTATCTGAATCCTGTGTTTACCACTGAAAAATGCATACAGAGCAAAAAAAAAATGTTTCATAGTTTCTATATAGTATAGTGTAAGCTAATATTATATTGTGATCCTTTCATTTGCTATTGGTTTAGAGCAGGCATGTCAAACTGCTGGCCCGCGGGCTGGATGCATCACGCCAAAGCCGTGCCCACCCCATTGCCGGCAATGGGGGAAAAGTCCCGATATGTTGCGTGACGTCATGTGACGTTGCGAGTTTGACATGCCTGGTTTAGAGGATCAGGAATTAGTATTTTCATATCTGTTAATCTGAAATGATTTTCTCTCATATTTTACTCTCCAGCTTTTCTTCCCAACATGATCTCCAGGAGAACTGGTCAAATTGTGCTAGTCAACAATATCCAGGGAAAATTGGGTGTTCCCTTTCGTGCAGCCTGTGAGTTTATGAATCTAACTCATTTTTTCTTTTTTATTTCTGGGCAATTAGAACAATATGAAACTTGAGGTCTTCCAGTTAGAGTCTAAAACCACTGGAGAATCTTAAATATTTTTTAGTTTCTCTGAATCTAGTTGTTATTAAGAGAAAGTCAAAGAACTTTAGTTTCACCAAGTAAGAATAGCCTTCAATTCTACCACATGCTTTCTTCACTGGTCTTCCATATTTGTCAGAAGGTACAGATATAGATGGACTTGATCATCTGAATCCATATACTGTATTCCTCCAAGTTATTACAGACAATGCCACTGAACAATCATTTCAGTTGTCTGAGTACCCCATTTGGATGTAGGCAAACATGCAATTTGCCTGATTTTGATTAAATGTATAGACTATAGTTTAGTTAATAGTGCAAACACACTCCGGTGTGGCTAACTCAATAAACCATAATTATACACATCATGGTGCAGCATGTCATTGGGAGCTTTGTCATTGCCTTCTATTAGATCCTGTCTGATTGCAACTTTATATTTTAAGAAATTCATATGAAACCGGCATGTGGTAATAGCTTTGATTGTGTAGGTTATCTGATTGGTGGGAGGTTTTTGTTTTTGTTTTGCTGAAATGATTTGGGATAATGGATGCTTTAAGAAATCCTGAAGGGACTTGTGGACAGTCTCGTAAAGGTCCTAGCCACAAGTCCAGCAGTACAATGCATTGGCTTAAATTGTGCTTCTCTCACCAATGAATCCAATTTTGCAAAAAGCTGGCAAATGTATTGTTCTTTCTTAATGCAGATCAAGGTAAGGAAAGAAATTGATAGATTCCATTGGTTTTATTTTCCCTCCCACCAAATGGCACCCACTAATGCAGTGGTTCTCAACCTTTTTAATGCCGCGTCCCCCAACCGGTCGTAAGTCGAGGACTAAACCGGTCGTAAGTCGAGGACTAAACTGATCGTAAGTCGAGGACTAAACTGATCGTAAGTCGAGGACTAAACCGGTCGTAAGTCGAGGACTACCCAACCGGTTGTAAGTCGAGGACTTTCCCTGCCCGGGAGCACCGCGCATGCGTGTTTCCGCCCCCTGCGCCGGCCGAGGCATAGCTGGCAAGCGGCAGAGATGGAGCAGGCCAACCACCAGCTGGCCCAGCTCAAGGGAGGTAAGGCACCCGCCGGAAAAGGGGAAAAAAATGGCGGACAGCCTTGCTTGGCGACCCCCGTGAAATGGTCGATCGACCCCAAATGGGGTCGCGACCCATAGGTTGAGAACCGCTGCACTAATGGGAAATCCCCCTTAATATGGGATGGAATAAATTATTGTGAGCAGATGCTTGGAATGACAGGTTTAACCATCTGTCAGACTACCCAATTGGTAGACTCGGAGAAGGACATGGAGAAAAACAGGAGGGAGATTTCATCTTGCTCCTGGTAAGAGCAGCTCCTCCTCCAGACCTTGAAACCAGCAGATGGGGAACCAAGAAAACCAATATTGAGTTTATGTCCAACAGTCCCAAAGAAGGAGCCAATGGGATATTGTGATTGGCCAGTGCATAACAATAGTCATTATTTTGACATTTAACTTTGTCCAAATAGAAGGGAACAGAAAAATGCCTTCAGATATTACAAATAACAATGGTGAACTGCATGAACACGGCAAATACAATTGCATAATACTGGTTCTAGAGATAGGAATGGTCAGATGATAGTCCTAGAACTTGTGTGTAGGTCCTCAGGAATAAAAGTAGTAAATATAGTTAAAACAACAACAACATGTAAACTAGCAATACCCAGATGACAGAAGGCTGTTTGTAACCTGCTTTACACTGACTTTGAATAGAATAGAGCTGGAAGGGACCTTGGAGGTCTTCTAGTCCAGCCCCCTGCTCAAGCAGGAGAACCTATATCATCTCAGACAAGTGACTGTCTAGCCCCTTCTTGAAAATCTCCAGTGATGGAGCGCCCACAATTTCTGGAGGCAAGCTGTTCCACTGGTTAACTGTCCTCATTGTCAGGAAGTTTCTCCTTAATTCCAGGTTGCTTCTCTCTTTGATCAGTTTCCAACCATTGTTGGAACCTTCTACGTGGCAGAGGGCTAGCATTTTTTTAGGGCATTATTTCTGTATTTCAAGATACAGGTTGAACATTTATTCATGAAAGTGCTAAACTTGTGTGGTAAGGAGCCAGTATAAGGCTTGACAAGTGCTGCAGCAAGCATTGGTTCAGCCTTATGGAATCAGATGTTTTGTGGAAGCCAGGTTTCTGGCCTTTTCAGCAGCATAAGCCAAAAGAAACATGGAGGGTAGTTTCCAGCAACTGGAGAAGGGGGGGGGGCTGCTTGAAGCAGCACAAAGAAGCCAATGAGAACGAGGCAGATCCCAACTGCTTACTACATCAGCAACCGTATCACTAGTGAACTGTGCCAGATTCAGTCCAGGACAAAAACTATTTCGGAAGACAAGAGAAAACATGATTTTGAAACTTGTACAGTTAAAGACAACATTAAGCTACCTCAGATATGGGCTGGAGATGGAAGGGAAGAAAAAAAGCAATTACCAAGGTATGTTCGTGGCATGAGGAAGCACGAACATGACTTATATTTTATTCTTTTCTTAGTATAGGAGATCCTGAATCCAAACATTAGACAAGCTAATGTGGAAGGATGGATGGATGGATTTTTGGATGGATGGGTATTTGGTATATTATGATAGTATGTTTCTTGCATGAATCTCTCTTTCTCCTAGATTCTGCTTCGAAGCATGCTACTCTAGGATTCTTTGATTGCCTGAGAGCAGAACTGCAGGAATTTGGTGTTTGTGTCAGTACTGTGTCTCCAAGTTTTATATGTTCCGATCATAATCAGCCGCAGCCTAAGAACTGGGAAGGCGCCTCATGGAAAAGTAAGTCATTCACACTGGGATGGCGACCAGAACACAAGCAGAACTAAAAGATAAAAAATACCCAAGAAGACAAAGATGATTTAGGCAAATAACTTGCTGACGAAATTCAAAATCACCAGTCTTTGGAGACAAAGACTTGCGATACATTTCCTCTAAAGAACCTACTATCATCTACTACTATCAGAAGCATAAGCGATGATTTGTAGTTGGAATATAAGGCAGCACATTAACTAGAAACGTAAATTTTTGCTTTCAAAAGTAGGGAATGCTAATGTTAACTCTTGGCATTCATACATATTTTTTTCTGTCCAGTTAATAAATATGGGCAAACCAGTTGTAAAATACTTAGAAAATACATTACTGCTTGCTCTCAGCACAGAAAACAATACATTGGCTGTGAACCACTACTGCATCATAAGTAACAAAAAGTGAATGTTTCTGACATCCTTGTGATAAATAATCCAACTCTCTTCCTAACATGGCCATTAGCCCTTTAAAGAAAAAAAAATGTCTTTTCTTTGCCTTTAAAATGTAGAATTAAAAGTAAAGGAGAATACATCCCTCATTTTGATACCCTGGAGCAGTTTTTATCATTTTTTAAAAAGTTTTGGGTCTTCTTCTTATTGTGTAGTTTATTAAAAGCAACAAACATTAACCTGTCTGCCTATTTTCCTGGAACAACGTTTCGTCATTTTAAGATTCCTTCCAGCATTTTTATTTATTCATTATTCATTTATTTATTCTTTTCCTTTGAATTAGCATCCTCCTTTCATTCCTCCAAATTTCTTTCCTTCCCTGTCCCCACAATGGGCTTCATATTGTCTTTAAATTGAGACACGAGCATGACACGTAGCAGCTAGTTATCTCTTTTAATACTTTCTTGTTTGCCCAATTCTCAGACTTCTTCAGAAAGTCGGCTTATGGTGTCCGTCCAACAGAGGTAGCAGAAGAAATTCTACGGACAGTGAACAGGAAGAAGCAGGAGGTGTTCATGGCAAACCCCATCGCAAAGGCAGCTGTTTATATTCGCACTTTCCTCCCAGAGATATTTTTTGCTGTGGTTGCTGCTGGAGTGAAAGAAAAACAGAAAATTGAAGTTGAAAACTGATACATCAAGCTCAGCTCCCTTGATAGAAGGGTTGTGCCGATTCTCTCTTGCAGAGGCACCTTGGAAGAATGTTGTATAAATCCAAATGGAGCAAACAACAAACAAACAAAAAACCAAAGTTGTGTTTGAGGATCTGGAGGCAGTAGAATAAGATACGGCCTTTTCATCTATCATTAAAAGTGCACTGCTGGGCTATGAAAGAGAGCAAAGGACATTTTTTAGAGTGCCAAGTGAGTCATCTGAAATGGGGCCTCTGGTTTCCTGGACAATTGCTATTTCAAAAGAGTTAATTGAAAGCATGAATTGTCTGCATGTTGGGTGAAGTGTTCAGAGCAGCGGTGAAGGTCAAGAGAATTGTAAACTAATATTGGAAAAATGAGGAATTTCAGCAATCGGGGAGAATATAAGCAATGGACGCATGGAAAAGAAGTAGAGAGTATAGAAAGAGTATGAAGTTCTGGGTTCACACCAGAGTACTTGGATCTTAGAAAGCAGATGGGTTTGACATTTAGGAAATTCTCACAGGAAACTGAAAAAGGTTTCAGAGCCTTTGCCTTTTTGGTGTGATTAACTGAACCTTTCAAATCTGCAGTAGTGCTTGGTTTTGATAGCTTTTAGTTCTAAAAAAATTAAGCAAATGCTTGGAGTGGGGATGAAACATTCCACATTTCAAAATGTTGCATTGCTTTCATTCCACATGGCTAGATATGTCCAGTTTGGGCCAACTGCATAACTTTTTTAAAAAACACACGCCCGCAAGATAGTGGTGGGGAGCATATGATGAAATGCATATCATGATGTTATGATGCATATCTTCATGGTTTACCTGCTGGTGTCAGGTAAGACACCAGAACACAAATGTGTAAGAACAGATTATGTATCATAATGTCAGCATGTGTGTGTTGTCATTTTTTTACACAATTTGTAAAGCTTACCGCAACTGACTTGTTGCGGACAAAGCAACTGACCACCACTGATAAATTCATGTCTTTGATGAATATTGGCACTCATCTTCTGACACTGCCTCCTTCTCCTCATGCAATGCTACAGGTTCATAGAAATCTCAAAATGTAAAGACATTACAGCTGTAAACAGAAAAATATCTTTTTCCTTAATATTTTTATCTTTGCTGTGTCATTATAGTAATAGTACAAAGGCAGCAGCAATGCTCAAATTATCTCAGAAAGGTACTCCACCTTAAATTTGGAATTAGGGGCAGGGATGACAAATTCCAAGTCTTCTCTAATGTTTCAAACTAGAATGGATCGCAAGTGGATATTTTCATGAGGCTAGTACGTTGTACAATTCAGTACATTGCTAAACCTCCAACATCTATATTCACTGGTTATAGCTACAAGTGATACGAACTTTTATTGATCAGATGATCAAGTTATACAGTTTCTTGGGATTTAAATTCTCAGGTGATATTTGTTGTGATGCACCTTCAGCCAGGCCCCCATACTGGATTGCAAGGAGAGAGAAAAAGGACACTATGCTAGAAACCAGGAGACTGAATTTTATTCCAGCCTTAGCCATGAAAATTGACTTTGGTTCAGTCATTCTCTCTCAGTCCAATCACCTCTCAGGGTTATTGTTGTGGGGAAAATAGGAAGAGGAAGGAGAATTGTGTATGTTCACCATCTTGAGTTACTTATGAAGTAATAAAGATGGGATAAAAAAATCTAATAAATAAAATCAAGATGAACACTAGAAATCCACAAAGTATTAGTGTTTGCTATGTGTCTTTGTTGCCATCTAGTGGTCATTAGAATTTTTGGAGCCCAATTTGAATACTGCAGCGTACAATGTGTTTTGGGTCTGGCTTGACTTGCATTTTCCCTCAAAATAATTGTTCCCCAAGCAGGCCTGCCGTTTCCACTCCCCCCCCCCACACACACACACCTGTCAAACAATAACTCTTGTCATTCCCAGTCAGCATGGCCCATAGTAGCACTAATTGTGTATGATAAGGGTGATCATGCAGGATCTTAAGTTAGGGGGAAGCTTGAGACTGAGATAAAATCAGTAAAAAGTGAAGGCAGATGAGTCCAGTAAATCAAAAGGTTTATAGATAGAGATTACTTTAAAAAAAACTGGAGAATATTGGCACTAGCTTGGTTCAGCTATTTTATATAGCAAATCTGTGGGAGGTTCATCTGGAGATTACCAGATTGGGCAAAGTGATCTGTTTACCACAGAAATGAGAATGCTTATATTCTTACTATATGAATATGGTTCGTAGAAAGACTATGCACACCTTTGCAAGTGTGAGGATGTCCATTATTAGTGAAAAATAATGGGAAGTAAGTGGGAGTAAATGTACTCTTTGTGAAAGTGTTGCGTATATGCCTGTATGAGAGAGAGGTGCTGAACTGAAAGATGGCTGCTGTTGGGTTTTTATTTGGTGCAACGTCTTGTAATGTTGGTTCCCAAACAATGTACCTTCCGGAGATGTATTCAATCTTTCTTGACTCCACTGCCTGTTTATTTCTCTCCTAATCGCCATTTGACATTTTGTTGTGCTCATCAATAAAAGCAATTGAAAACACATTCCCTGATTTAGAAACAGCCATGAGGGAAACAGCGGATTAGCATACTTAAAGTTGTGATTCCCTTTCTTCCACATTTCAGGGCCAACAATCTTGCCTTGGGGTGATATAAATAAAACTCCTGTTTGAACAAGCTCTTGTCCTCTGCTCAGGGTTGCAGTTTCTGCCACTGTCATGTAAATTTGGCCACTGCTAGTATAATGTCTCAGTACAATGTCCTTTTTTAAACTGAGTGGGTACCAAAGTAGTAAAGAAAATAGTTAAACTTGGAGCTAATCTAAGCTCCAAAGGGAGGCCATACCACAGCTTAGATTATGAGCTCTGCCAAAGAAAATTAGTTTCTGAGAATCGGTCCCCACACCACCCCTCCACCCCAATTCCTAAACATGGAGAATCATCAGCTGCAAGATCAAATTAGTTTAGGCTAATTTTAATGGACAAATATAGTCTTGAAAGTAACTTGAGCCAAGCAATAAAGAGCTTTATAGGTTAAGCCTATAGAAAGCCAATGCAGTGCCCATAGTTGTAATATATTTTCTCTGGTGAGCCCTGGATTGTACATAGGCTGTTGCATTTTGAACCAATTGAAACTTACAAGTGAGTTTTAAAGGCAAGTCCATGTTGAGTGCATTGCAGCAGTCTACGTAAAGTAAACTGCAATGAAAACCTGATTCACTGTAGTTAGGGCCTCACTGTAGTTAGAGTCAAGTAAAGGCCTTGTTAGCCATGGCTTCTAATTGTTATTTCAGCAAGAGCTACAATTCAGATAGATCCCCAAGCCATAGCGCTTCTGGTCCATGGATAATGCTACCATATATAGCTACCCAAGAATCCTAATGGGCAAACTATAATGCCATCTTGCTAGGATTTAATATTAGATTGTATTCTTACATTCAGACCTCCACAGCTTCTAGACACCAAGATCTCAAGAGTATAATCATATGGCTCAAGTTGAGAGGTAAAACTATCATCAGCATACTGATAGTTTTGCACCCTGAAATGACAGGTGATGTCACCTGGTTAGTTCATATAGATCAGGCATGCTGGCTGGGGAATTCTGGGAGTTAAAGTCCACAAGTCATAAAAGGGCCAAGTTTGAAGACCCCTGATATAGATATTTAACAGCAGTGGGGAGAGCAACAACCTCTGTAGCACTCACAGGGGAAGAGTCATCAAGCCAACATCCCCTCTCCTACTATATAATCCTGGTGATGCAGGATTTGCTATTAAACATGTGACAAAATACTAACATCTAACACAATTCCTAAAGAATTTTAGACAACAATGTATAAACTAATCCTGAGATTCAGAATATGTGCCTGAGTTTAAATCATCATTTCAGATAATACACTATATTCAAATAATGTCCAAAGCCATATTCAAACAATATCCAAAGATCTAGCCGCTGTTCCATCTCAAAAACTATACTACAATACCTGAACATCTGCAGCAAAAGGAAGAGGCAAATTATCTAAGACAAAAGATGAATGCACTGGAAGCCTTTTGGTTTATGTGAAACATGCATAGATACAAGATGAAAAAAATTGCCTTCTCTGTCCTGGGGAGAATTAAGTAGATTTTTGCAAACTTCTTATCTGCTGGCGGGCAGTGATTTGAGGAAATAATGCTTGAACTATGTTGAAAGAAAGAATAATTAAGATAGTGTGGGGACAGTGGATAAAAATAATTTTTGTTTTTGTCATAACATTGGAGTTTTGTAATATGTACTTTCATCCAATTATGTCAAGCATGACAAATGTTTTCTTTTCATGGTGTTGGAACAATACCTAAACCAAGATTGTAATTTGGCCAAAAGTTGAAGAAGGGAAGAGTTCCAAGTAATCCATGGTGAACTGCGCTATTTTTTGAATCACTAAATCTAGAGACAAGTCAAATCTATGTTCTGTATATACCCCTACAAGATGATGTCAGGCATGAATTTGAAAAACTTGTAATTAATTTCTCACAACTTCCAGTGCCTTTTAGGTGGAGCCCTTGGCAAAGAATTCAAATGCTAGGAAACCGAAGAGACAGTGCAACAAATAAACAGAGAATGAATATGTTTAAACGAAATGGAAAATGAAAAAAAAATGGTTACGTACGTCACTGAATTTGTTTATATGTTTCATCATCTGCTCTAAAAAGATCTGTTCCAAATACAAAATTATTCTTTAAAAGTGAATAGAATAAAACGGAAATAACACTGCTTTCCACAAAGTAATGCAAAAGACATTCAAAGGAAAAAAAAATTCTACTCTTTCTAGTCATCATACATCTAAAAAGGTACTATTTTTATCACAAACAGCAACTTTCAAACTTTTTTTAATCAACTCATTTCTGATCATCTGTGAGCAATATTCCTGCACATCCAGGTGATTTTATTTGAGATTTAATAAAATTCCTGCATATGTGTGGTGGCAGAATGGTAGCATAGCATCACCAAATGGGTTTTCAGAAGGTTGAGCTTCCAGTCCTCAAACTGCCCATTCTCATGTCACCTAAGGACAGCTGAATGGATGGATGAACAACACCCTAGCAACACCCTAGTCAAACTGCCGGCCCGTGGGCCGGTTTCATCATGCTAAAACCACGCCCCCCCAATGCAAAAAGAGTCGTGATACGTCATGACACGTCATGTGACGTGGCGAGTT